TATGCAGATTTATTTACAATTATTATTTTGTTTGAAATTTTTTTTCTGATCCATTATCATTCACCATTTCTAATTTCCATCTTTGAAACTTGACTTGGATAGAGCATTCCAGCCACTCTAGAAGCAAAGTAAGGATTGAAATACATTCACCAAGGTCCAAGGAAGCTTTTGGCATCATTTGTTTGCACCTGAAAGCATCCATACGCGTTCTGAGTTTTCACTTTAAGAGGTAAGTTTTCTAAACTGTGATATCTTGATACAAGCATCATTTTCATTTACTTTCTAAAGAGAAAATGTAGATATCATTCCTCTAAAGCTAACCATATATCATTAGTTTTCATTAATTTTTCTTGTGGAGTAAGAATCGATGCTCTGACCAGTTAGGGTTCATTTTTGGTACTGAGTAAAATTCTTTTTGTTCTTTGAGTTTTAGTTAAAATAAGTGTCATGGTTGAATTCGTGTTCAAATTTCAAGCAAGTTTGGTGTTCACATTTTTTTAAATGGTTGAGAAATGAGAGTTTTACATATTCAAAAATGGTGTTGTATCAGCATGAATATTGTCGGTCTTTCACTTGGAGTAGTATCAGCATGATAAACTTGATCATTAATAACAGGAACTGAATGCACAATAGGAGGTGCGGGAACCACAATAGGTTGAACATGATGAGAAACTTGAGCAGCTGGATTATATCCTTCAGGGATAAAGTTCTCGGGCATTCCCCAAGGATAACCATGAGGCATCTGATGCTGAGCCATAGTAGTAACGGGTGAAACAAAAATAGGAACTGACAGAATCTCAAAAATAACAATAGTTTTTGTTGAGGCTAAACCGTATGAGAAGAAGGAGGAGGTGGTGGTGGCTGATTCTGACCAGCCACCAAGGATTCCACTAAAGCAGTCAGGTTAGCCATATTGGTTCTTAAAGAAGTTACCTCTTTGCAGACCAAGAGAAACATATAAGACACCTGTGATCATTACAAGAATGCAAAATTGCGTGCGAAATGATGCATGATATGCAATGCACATGATTTTATTTTGTGTATTCAATTTTCAAGGAACTTAAAGAACTGTAATAATTGAAAACATCAAAGGAATATCACATTTTTGAAACACTAAATAATCTCATTTCATTAATAGTTTTTGGAAGGATTACAACTTTAGTACAAGTTTCATTAATCCTAAATACAAGAGTAAAAAACCAGAATCTATGGGTCTTAAGGGGCAAAGACTGAAGAATATCCCACTTCACACTAACACATTCCTTTGAGCCTCTTGATCTGATCCTTCAACTTGTTATTCTACGACACAAACTTATCAATGAATCCTTTCCATCCACCAGAAGTAGGAAGCATGTGAGAATAGTATTGAACACTAGGAACTGGATAAGTGCTAAAGGAAAATAAATCCTCTTGCTCCTCCATCCTCTCCATAACATGTCACTTAAGAATCTCAATTAAATCATATTTCTCCTTCAACTTCGCTCGGAGCGCTGAGTATTCCATATCCATAGTCTGACACTTATTCTTCCAAGCATCCTTCTCCTGTTGCATCTTGACTAAAGCAAGTTGAAGCTCTTCAACATCACTTTAAAAAAATGAGGAGTAGGCTCTTTAAAAACTACAGATAAGGGTTCTTGACGAGGATAAGGCATATTCAACTGAATTTCCCTTGCTTGTACCCACCAAAGATGAGGATCCAAAGAAACAACACCTCTTTTTCCTAATGCTTCTCTTCCCTTCCTATGAATGTGACGCCAGACTTTACTAATACTTTCCTTAGATGCTTTGTTGTCTTCTCCCTCCTTAAGAAAGAAGCCACTCACTAAAATGTTACTTGGTTTTTCCCTCATCGGATATCCAAGTTGTCAACGTGCTAGAATAGGGTTATAGTTGACGCCTCCCTTTATACCAAGAAGAGATACATCGGGAAAACTACTGCAACTATCAATAATCCTTACTCCATAATAAGCTTGATTATACCACACAATATCATAATGAGTAAGAGAAATTATTTTCTATAACCAACATAATCCATCCTTGAGATCCACAAGTTATGAATTTTTAAACGCCCGCAAAATAACGGTTCAACACAGTATTTTCACTATTTTTCACTATTTAGCTTCAAAGTACTTGCGCATTCGGAGATCTTCCTCAAAGAATTGACTTTCGAGCCGAACATGAAAATTGGAGGAGATAACAAAATGATTCAAATGCTCCAAGAGGCACTCAAAGATGATACTCCAGCCAAAAGTTATGAATTTTTAAGCATCAGAAAACCAGAGAAACGGTAAATCCACTGTAGCACTGTCTCAAATCAACTGAAACACTTGACTTTCTGTATAATTTAGAGCGTGTTGAAATGAATAAGAGCTTGATATGATGATGAATTGCTTGGTTGTTGATTGGATAACTTGGAAAACATGTGGAGTGCATTTAAATGTGGAAAATCCTGATTTATGCTTCACAATGTTGCTTAACGGAATTGTCAATTTCGCAACTCTTTCTTGCAGAGCAATGCCTTGATTCCATGAGTACATAGTCAATGACATGTATGTATGCATATAATAATGAAGTATAAGCCAATTAGGTTTAAAATGAAGATGGCAAATTTTGGGGTACAACAGTTGCCCCTATTCAATCTTCTTTAACCAAAGAGTGAGATTGGCGGTACCTTTTCAAACAATCAGGGTGAAAGAGGATTGAATACTTATTAGAACCGTAAAATTTATTATTTATTTTTTGATTTTTCTGAATTTTTTTTTTTTGCTTTTTGTTGAATAATGGTTATCAGGGGTAAACATGTGTCAGGTCAAGGTTAGACACACAAAAGAGAAATTGGATATCAAGAAACATGTGTTCGGAGTTGGTAGCAGATGCATAACAAGAAAGAGACCAGAGGAAAAGACTCTCACCAAGGATATCACAACTATATGTCCGAAGGAAATGACATACACGAGAGAGAGACCAGAAGAAAGGATTCTATCAGAGATACCACAAATGTATGTTCAGAGCTTGTAGCGAAAATAAGATAGAGACTAACAGAAAAAGCCCTATCAAAAATATCATCCATATTTAGAGGAAGCAACTGACCAGATCAACAGAAGTGAGAGGTTACTAGATCTATGATTGGATTCTTCCTAAGAAACATAAACAAACTTAATGCACTATAAAAAGAGCCATGCCATAACTTGTCATCTAAAGTCACACGTTAGAGAAGAGCAGCAAAACGTTTCAATGATATGAAGATATTTAATGTGTATGTTTCCCACTACTTTTGTAACTAATTCAAGGTGTTTTCACTTTTGACCAAGAGTGGGCAACATCCTTAGAGGCCGCCCATGACTTCTAAGACTTCCCTAACTAATACTCCTCCGATAAGCCTCAGGAGCAATTGTTTCGGGCCGACAAAAGACCCAAAAAGCCAAGACTCAATCCAATAGCAATCCACTCAAGCGACCCAACATATAAAGGCCATACCACATGATATTTAAGGTACACTTTCTGATCTCCATTTTACACTATACTCATCTTGAATTCTGAACTGCATTGAGCGTTATAGTGCTAGCCTTGTAAATCCACCTTAAACAGTCGTATCGGAGATCAACATCATCGATTTAGAATTCCTCATCGTCAAGACATACCAATTATGGTTCCACAACAAAATAAATAAGTTGTCAAATATAATGATTAAATCGATTAATTTATTTTTTTATTTATGAAAGGTGAGATGATGTAGTATATAATTTTTTTATTAAATAAAAAAAAATGTTTAGGGTCCAAAATTTAAAGATTTAAGGTTCTTTTTCAAAGGTAAATGTGTTGAAGGTTCGGTAATAGTAGCAAAATAAAAATTTGGAAAATAAAATTAAGAATATTGGGCGAAAAGTTGAACAATAATAGAGAAAATTAATGAGGAATAAGATGGTTGAAAAAAAAGAATTATTACTTTCAAAAAAAAAAAACTAGTCGGCTTGTGACATTTAACTTATCACCTCAGCACTACTAACTTCCTTAAATCACATAGACTAACCTAGTGATCTAACTAAAAAAAGTTAACATTTTTAATTATAAATTTAAAATATTAAGGAAATACTTAAAAAGTACACTCTTTAAGAATAAAAGTAATTTTTTTTTGAAAATGTACATATTTAATATATTAAAAATTAAAATAGTTAACTTTTATAAATGTTTTATTTATTTACTTAGGATGCTTAAAGAATGATTTTGTAGCACCGGTTAGGATGACCAAAAGAATTAAAAGAGCTGAGAACATCTTTGTTAATTAATACTCCCTCTATTCTCTTTTATAAAAAAAAAAATTAATTTTTTAAATTAATTTAATAATTGATGTATCTAATTTATATATAATTTAAATATATTATTTTTTCAATAAATCTAAAAAGTCAAAATTTTCTTATAAAAAAAATGGAGGGAGTATGCATTAACAATATAAAACATGTTTATTAAAATTTAGTTTTTATTTAAATTATTTGTAAAGTAATATTTGTAAATGTTTGTTATATATTTATTATGTGAATAATTTTACACTGAGTAAACTAGTAGTAAACTAACTACGAAATCAATTTTAATAAATTGAAATATTAATAAAGACAAAGCATATTTAAAAGTGATTTGCATTGACCAATTTTATGATTACTATGATAAATAAAAGCATTCAACTCTTTTAATTGACCGAGTAAGTAAACAGTTAATTTAATTGGCAAAAATGACTAAATAAGATAAATAAATTGATTACTCCGTACGAGTATGACTGGCATAGACTCGTTGAGTTGAGTTGAGTTGAGTTGCTTCCTCGTGTTGACTCAACTATACAGTTACGGTGTGAAGAACCCACAAGAGGATTTGTGATTATTCATTACTTCTTGTTTATCTGATTTCTTCTTCAACGTGCAACGCATCATTTCATCTTTATTTTTTCTCAAATTAATTAATGTTTCTTCTTTTTTACAGCAATCACATTCCAAGATCACCTTCTTTTCATGGATATAATTAGTTGCTTACCAGGTCATGTGATAGACCGAATTCTGTCTTACTTGCCAATTAGGGAAGCAGTGAGAACGAGTGTTTTATCCAAAATATGGAAGAACAAATGGTACACACTTCCAAATCTTGTGTTTGATAAACACGGTGTCTCTGATGTAGCTTCGGAAGATTCTTTAGTTGATAAGAACAAGATTGTGAAAATTGTTGATCATGTGCTTTTAATTCATTCGGGGCCAATCAACATGTTCAAGTTCACTGAAGATGATGTCATTGGTGAAATTCTTGTGACTGATATGGATCGGTGGATTCTTCATCTAACCGGAAGGTCTATTAAAGAGCTTGTGTTGGAATTTCTGACAGGGGAAGAAGAAGAAGAATACTATAAGTATAAGATACCTTGGTGCTTATTCTCTTGTCAAAGTTTACATCGTTTAACACTACAATGGTGTTGGCTTAATCCTCCAAAGGTGTTTGAAGGCTTTAGGAACTTGAGAAGTCTTGATCTAAATTTAGTTACAGTGGCTCAAGATGCTTTTGAAAACATTGTTAGAGATACAAGCATAGTTCTGAAAAATATATCTAGTAGAAAAGGGAATTAGACATAAAGTCTAATTCCATCCCTAACCCCTATGGATACTGTATAAATGTAACAGAATGGTGTAACAGAATTCTAACTGAATTGATAACAACTTTCTGTTTCTTTCTCTCTCTCTCTCCTTTCTCTCTTCCTTTCTCTATTGTATCTCTGTTTCTAACATGGTATCCAGAGCTCATCTTTGATCCTCGGCGCTCATGGCTTCTCCATCGCCGCCGTCCACCGCAAGCGGTGGCAGCACCGCCGCTGCTAGCTCCACCTTCAAACAGAAAATTTCAGTCAAGCTTGATGAGAACAACTATCGACAGTGGAAACAACAGGTTGAAGGAGTTCTTCGTGGCACGAAAATGGTGCGGTTTGTCGTCTCACCGCAGATACCGGAACGATACCTCACTGTTGCCGATCGTGACACCGGAAGTGAGAACCCTAGCTTCGTCACATGGGAAGAACAGGATGCGTTGTTGTGCACGTGGTTGCTATCCACGATCTCAGACTCGCTTCTCTCTCGATTCGTTCTCCTTCGTCACTCATGGCAAGTTTGGGAAGAAATTCATGCTTTCTGCCATACGCAAATGAAAACTCGATCTCGCCAACTCAGATCGGAACTTCGATCTCTCTCAAAAGGTACTAGAACCATTTCTGATTTTCTTGCTCGAGTTCGCACCATTGTCGATACTTTAATGTCGATTGGTGATCCAGTCCTTCATCGTGATCAAATTGAACTGATTCTTGAGGCGTTACCATCGGAATTTGACTCAGTTGTTGCTGCTGTTAACTCCAAGACTGATTTCATTTCAATTGATGAATTAGAATCGCTTCTCCTCACTCAAGAAGCCAGAATTGAGAAATCCAAGAAAGAAGTTGTTGAAACTGTCTCTGTGAACCTCACTCAAGGTAATATGCCAAGTTCCAATCTCAGTCCCCAAGATTCTGATATCCCTGACACCAGTGGTGGAAACTTCCAAAGCTTTGGTCGTGGCAGCTATTCTCGTGGCAAAAACAATAGAGGAGGAAGATTCAGAGGACGTGGTGGCCGTAACGGCTATAGAAACTCTGTGCAATGTCAGATATGCTATAAACCAGGTCATGATGCTAGCTATTGCTATTACAGACACTCTCAAGACACTTATGGTGTCTATCCTCCTTATAGTGCTCCTGCTTCCTTTGGAAATTTCAGCTTCAGTCAACCAAATGTGTGGACTCAACCTGGTTTTAGGGCTCCAGGTTCTTCAGCTGTGAATCAAGCTAGATCTGTGGCGCCTGTCTTGGCATCTCAGTACTCTGGTACAAGGCCTCAGGCACTGATTGCTGGCACTGACTACTCTCCCTTCTACAACCAGGCATGGTATCCTGACTCCGGAGCTTCACATCATGTGACTCCAGATGCTACAAATCTTGCTGATTCTGTATCCTTGCCTGGTAATGACCAGGTTCACATTGGCAATGGCCAAGGTCTGTCCATAACTTCTCTTGGCTCTATGAATTTCTCTTCAAATTTATGCCCTAATACTTCTTTGAAACTAAATAATCTTCTTCTTGTTCCTTCCATTACTAAAAATTTGCTGAGTGTGAGTCAATTTGCCAAAGATAATGCTGTATTCTTTGAGTTCCATGCTAATGCCTGTTTTGTAAAATGTCAGGATACTTCTAAAGTGCTTTTGAGTGGTTCCCTTGGGAGTGATGGTCTTTATAAGTTCGACTGCACTCCTCCTCCTATTTCCTCTCAAGTCCTCAGTGCTGTTTGCAAGACATCTTGCCCTCAACATCCTTCTTTGCAGTCTACCTCTGTGTTCAATTCCAGCTGTAATAATAGGAACTTTGATTTTGTTTCCAGTCTGTACAAACTGTGGCACCACAAGTTGGGTCACCCTCATCCTGAGGTTCTTAAACAAGTTCTAAAATTGTGTAATATTTCTATTCCTAATAAACAGTTTTCTGATTTCTGTAATGCTTGTTGTCTGGGTAAAGTACATAGGTTACCATCTACTTCATCTAAATCTGTTTACTCCAAACCCCTTGAACTTGTGTTCTGTGACTTGTGGGGGCCCTCACCAGTTCCCTCCATCTCTGGCTATTCATACTTTCTCACCTGTGTTGATGCTTACAGTCGTTACACCTGGATTTATCCTCTAAAATTAAAATCTGCCACACTTGCCACCTTTATTCAGTTTAAAGCTCTTGTTGAACTACAACTTAACTTCAAAATCAAATCTGTGCAAACTGATGGTGGAGGTGAATTCAAACCTTTGACACACTTTTTAACCATGCATGGCATAACTCACAGAGTCACATGTCCTCATACTCATCACCAAAATGGCTCTGTAGAACGTAAACACAGACATGTTGTGGAGACAGGTCTTACTCTTCTTGCTCAGGCTAACCTACCCTTAAAATTCTGGGACCATGCTTTCCTCACTGCTACCTATCTCATAAACAGGCTTCCCTCCCCTTCCCTACATAATAAATCACCCTTTTTCTTGCTGTATTTTCAATTTCCTGACTACAAATTCTTAAAGACCTTTGGCTGCTCCTGCTTTCCTCATCTCAGACCCTATAATTCCCACAAACTTGCTATGCATTCTAAGGAGTGCCTGTTTCTTGGCTATTCTCCATCCCACAAAGGCTATAAATGTCTTGATCCTACTGGCAGAATATTTGTGTCTAAGGATGTCATATTCAATGAGCACAGGTTCCCTTACACTTCTCTATTTCCTGACTCACCATCTACATCTGTTTCAAAATTCTCCTCTACTCCCTTTTCTGGACCTTCATCTGGCCACCCTATTCCCCTCACCTCTGTTGGTCCTCACTCACACTTCCAGTCACCTACTAATTCCCCTGGTTTTTCTAACAGGCAACCCTCTTTACGCAGCATCAATTCTGATCCTGGTTCACCTGTTTCTCCCTCCCAGTCTGCTTCTACTTCTTCACATTCTGTTCATCCTGAGCCACCTTCAGCTGATTCTTCAGCTGTGCCTCCTCAAGCTGATATTGAGTCCTCCCCAGTAGGCATTAGCAACAGCATAATCTCTTCTCCATTCACTGAACACTCCTCCCCTGCTACCTCTGTTCATCCTCTTAACACTCATCCCATGGTCACTAGAGCCAAGAATGGCATTGTTCGACCTAAGCTGCAACCCACTCTCCTTCTCACTCAATTGGAACCAATCTCACATAAACAGGCTCTATCCATTCCTGAGTGGCAAACTGCTATGCAAGCTGAGTATGAAGCATTACTTAAGAACCACACTTGGTCTCTAGTTCCTGCTCCTAATCACAGAAAACCTATTGGCTGTAAGTGGGTTTTTAGGGTCAAGGAAAATGCAGATGGGACAATTAACAAATATAAAGCAAGATTGGTTGCTAAGGGTTTCCATCAAGTTGAAGGATTTGACTACACTGAAACTTTTTCACCAGTTGTGAAACCTATCACAGTGAGGACTGTTTTAACGCTTGCCATATCTAAAGGATGGATCTTACAGCAAATTGATGTCAACAATGCTTTTCTAAATGGAGTGCTTAATGAAGAGGTTTATATGGTTCAACCACCAGGCTTTGAAAAGGGTGGACCTGGTCTTGTCTGCAAGCTTCACAAAGCCCTCTATGGCCTTAAACAGGCTCCTAGGGCCTGGTTTGATAAGCTCAAAGGGTCTCTTCTCCAACTGGGTTTTACTGCCAGCAGGTGTGATCCCTCCTTGTTCATGATGCTCACACCATCCTGCTACACATTAGTGTTGGTATATGTTGATGACATTATCATCACTGGCTCTTCCTCTTCTTTCATCAAGCAGTTGGTCAGTAGACTCAACCTTGCCTTTTCTCTCAAAGACTTGGGCACGCTTGATTATTTTTTGGGCATAGAGGTATCTCATCTTCCCAATGGTTCTCTTTTGCTTTCTCAAAGCAAGTATGTCAGGGATCTGCTTCACAGAGCCAACATGGCTTCTGCCAAAGGAATTGCTTCCCCTATGGCCTCAAGCACCAAACTATCCAAAGTGGGCTCTGCTCCTGTTGCTGATTCCACCCACTTCAGATCTATAGTGGGAGCTCTACAGTATGCTACTGTCACACGACCTGAGATTTCCTTTGCTGTCAACAAAGTGTGCCAATTTCTCTCAAACCCTCTTGAGGATCATTGGAAAGCTGTTAAGCGCATTCTCCGGTATCTCCAAGGGACAGTTTCACATGGTCTTCTTCTCTCACCTGCTAACCTCACTTTGCCTATCACTATCACAGGCCTATGTGATGCAGACTGGGCATCTGATCCTGACGATAGAAGGTCTACCTCTGGGGCTTGCATCTTCCTAGGACCGAATCTTGTTACTTGGTGGGCAAAGAAGCAAACACTTGTGGCCAGATCCAGTGCTGAGGCAGAATACAGAAGTCTGGCCTTAGTCACAGCAGAGATTCTCTGGCTTCAATCTCTTCTGCAGGAACTTCAGATCACCCATCAGACTCCCAAGATACTATGTGACAATCTCAGCGCTGTATCTCTAGCTCACAATCCTGTTCTGCACTCAAGAACCAAGCATATGGAACTTGACATTTTCTTTGTTCGGGAGAAAGTGATTGGCAAGAACCTCATTGTTTCCCACATTCCTGCAGTAGATCAGTGGGCTGATGTGCTAACCAAGCCTCTCTCCACCAACAGATTCTTATTTCTTAAATCCAAACTTAGAGTTGTTGACAAGCTCAAACTTGATCAACCACCCTAAGTTTGAGAGGGGAGTGTTAGAGATACAAGCATAGTTCTGAAAAATATATCTAGTAGAAAAGGGAATTAGACATAAAGTCTAATTCCATCCCTAACCCCTATGGATACTGTATAAATGTAACAGAATGGTGTAACAGAATTCTAACTGAATTGATAACAACTTTCTGTTTCTTTCTCTCTCTCTCTCCTTTCTCTCTTCCTTTCTCTATTGTATCTCTGTTTCTAACAAACATGATATCCCGATGCCCTCTGCTTGAAAAATTGAAATTGAGAGAAGTTGATGGTTTAACCCAAATTAATATTCACGCACCAAATCTCAAGATTTTTGAAGTCTTTGGTGAATTTGAGGGTATTAGCTTTGACAACACTTTTCAGTTAGTTACGGTAATCGTTTATTCAAGATTGAATTTGAGCCCCGAAAACAATCAAAGTACATTGCATGGACGCTCTAGCAATTTGCTCGATTTTTTCGATCATCAACCTCACCTGCAAAGCCTAGTGATTGGTAGATGTTTTTTAAAGGTAATATGTTTCAGCTTGTAAATTTTGGATTTGACTTTAGTACTGACTCAGCTAATACCATTAAATACGAACCACAGTGAAGTGTATTAAAAACATTATATTCTGATTTAGAGTCATTTTTCTGTTTTGCTTCAGTATTTGGCTGCAGGTCTTTTGCCAATAACGCTTCCTACACCTTGTATTGGCCTAACTTATCTTTCCTTAAGCATAAACTTTGATGACTTGAAGGAAATTTCTGCTGCTCTTTGCTTGCTTAGAAGCTCACCTAATCTTCAAAAATTAGAAATATCTGTGAGTACTCATTTAGTTTAGCTTGACTTTACTCTGTTTTGCTTGCTGATTGTTGGTTGCACTTGCACACCACGTTTTTGTTTTTATGTTGTTATTAATCTCTAGATTTTTTTACTTTAAGTATCTGTCTAGTGTTTGGATATTGCTAGCTGAACATATGAGTTAGTTGCATTTTAGATCTAAAATAACACTAGTGTACCTCATTTCCATCTTTTATCAATGCTAATGGTACATTCAGAGTTTTAATATGCTCTATATCTCGCTTATGCAAACTATCTTCCCTCTTTGATCTAACAATTGCATGTAGGCACGGATTGAGCATCATACTGTCCCTTTGGCACCCGTCAGTGTCTATTATTGGGATGATACATTTTCAAAGCCAGACACACCCATCCAAGTGCGACATGTGACAATAGATAGCATCTCTGGTTTCCAACCTGAACTGGATATGATCAGATTTCTACTTCTCTATTCGCCTGTGCTAGAAAAGATGATTGTGAAACCTATTGTAAATGTCAGACCAGAGTTGGTTCCACAACTAATTCGGTTCAAAAGAGCGTCAAGAGAAGCTGAAGTTATTTACGAGGTGGTAGACTCTTCATAATGATTTGTTTTCTCCTTTTAAGTTATTCACACTCACAACCAATTCAAAGATTAAGCTTCCATTGTGATTCAGAAGCTGAATCTGAAGTTGAGTATAAGCTGAAAAGGAAGCTTGGAAACATAATGTTTGATACTTAAAAGAACCTGTTTGAACAAAAAAAGTTGAAGAACCAATTTACAAATAAGCCAAACCTAATGAACAGATGATGTAATTTTCTTCTAAGAAATATAGTTGTATCAATAAAATTTAGAGTTAAATATGTTTTTTTGTCATTATAAAATATCATAAATTTTATTTTTAATTTCTATTAAAAAATGATAAATTTTGATCCTTAAATTTTTTTTGTTCATGCAGTTTTAATTCTTGTTATTTTTTAAAATCTTAAAAACCGTTTAACTACTCTTAAATTTTTGAATAATTTTTTTGATACGTGTTTATAATACTACAAAATATTTCTTTACTAAATTTTAAATTTTTTTAAAACGAGAAGAATTAAATATAAATTTTTAAATTAAAAAAAATACTGATATAAATAATGAAATCTGTTTAGAAATTAAATTTTTGAGTTTCTTTTTTCTGATGAACTTTTTATAATATTTTAAATATATTTGCAAAATAATCATTTAAAAATAAACATCAATTTAATAACAAAGATTAAAATTATATATAAAATAATTTTGTAAAGATTAAAATATATCATATTTTTTTATAAGAATTAAAAATAAAATTTAATAATTTATAGAGATAAAAACATATTTAACCCTAAAATATATAGTAACGAACTATTCATTTAAATACAACATAGTTTATTAAAGGGGTCTGCGTTTTTTTTGAGTCTGGCCACTAATTTTTGTTTTGTGATATTTTTCATAGTACCTTATATAACTTATATTGATAGAACATTTCAAATAAATATCTTTAAATTTACACAAAACTAATAAAATTATTACAAATACACTTAAAACGTGCAACTGGCTTATGCATGATCAAACGTTAAATTTATAAGGCAATTTTTTAATGTCCTCTTATGTTTTTTTTAAAATTTTTAACGAAATCTCCGTAATACTCTTTAAGTTTATATATATATTTGAACTCATCATATTTTATATTTAGAGGGATTGATTCGGATATACATGCCTGAAACAACATTTTAATCAACATTAAAGGGGTTTCAAATATATATATTTGAATCAACCCCATAATTTAAATATATGGGGTATTCAGATATGTATATCCGAATGATATTAAATTTACAAAGTTTCGAAACAGAACATCTCTTTCTCATTACTCTCAATATTCCAACTTTCTTTATTCCAACTCTCTCTTTTACAATTTTTGAACAACACTTTCAACTCAATTCAATTACCAAAGTACATTTTCAAGAAGCAAATCACATTTTCAACTCATTTCAATAACACTTCAAAGCTCTGAATTTGAGTCAGTTTCTCTGAATCTATTATTATACTTTGCAAATGTAAAATATGTTATTTAGAATTATGTAAATTGAGTTGGTTGAAGTATAACTTGTGAAATGTGATTGTTTAGGTATGAAAGGGAAGATTTTAGGTGATTTAGGACAAGAAACTCCAAGTGCTCAAAAATGGAATCCCTCGAACCAAGTTCTTGTTATGCAGCAGCGCAAGGTTCTTATAGCTCAAGTGACCAAACCTTTTATGCCATATTTCACCGAGATCATCAACGTTTGCATTGAAACATGTAGGCGTCGATATAAGAATGTTTGTTGTCACAAGAAACATTCTGTTGGTGGTCATCAAACATTCCATTATGCATCCCCTACTCGGATGATATAGCTTGCAAACTCCATGCTTAATTACAATTGTGATGCCTCGATCTTGGAGTTGTCCAATACTCAGTAAGTTGTTGCATAGTTCAGGAATAAAAAATATGTCACTTACAATATGATTGCTTCCTCCGAACTCCAATTTGATGTTTCCCTTTCCCATTACTTCTAGCTTTGAGTTATTTCCAAGTTTGACTGAGTGCCTGAAGCTTTCATCCAACTGCATGAACCATTCCTTGTTTCCGGACATATGATTTGAGCATCCAGAATCAAGAAACCATACTCCTTCTTTCTTGTTTTGATGAGAATCTACTTGTGCCATCAGCAACATCTCTTCCTCTTCATTAAACTCGGCATAATTCACTCTTTTATCCCAGGTTGGGCATTCATACTGATAGTGTCCCAAATTATGACACCTGTAGCATTCCACCGCAGCCCTACTCGTGAACTGTCAGCCTCTACCTCTTCCTCGGTCTCTCATCATGCCTCTGCCTCTGCCTCTTTCATATCGCTCCTCGTGTGTCACCTTCAGTGTCTGCTCCTCCTCATTTGATCCCTTCATTCTTTACTCGTGGATAAGAAGACTGCTTTGGAGTTCATCAACGGTTAGAGTTTCCACATTGTTCGACTCCTCAATGGAGCACACAACATAGTTGAACTTTGGCACAAGAGACCTCAGAATTTTTACAGTAATGTCGTTTTCTTTCACAATCTCTCCGCAAGCTTTCATCCGTTTTGCTATGGAGAGAGCTCGTCCAAAGTATGCATTGACAGATTCTCCCTCTTTCATTTTCAGTATTTCGAACTCAGTCCTCAAGGTTTGAAGCTGAGCTCTCTTCACTCTAGTTAAACCTTTGAACTTTTGCTTCATTGAGTCCCATGTCTGCTTTGGGGTGTCATCATTCAGTATTGTCTCCATCATCAGTTGGCTCCCGGTTTTGTGGACCAACAACCACTCCATCCTCGACCAAGTTTCACATTTCTTTAAATAGGAGGAAATTCTCCATCAGCTTTTTAAATAGGAGGAAATTCTCCATCAGCTTCGCCCAATGCTCATAGAAACCATCAAATTTGGGAATTGCTGGTGGTATAAATCTGCTGCTACTGCTACTTTTTGTCATTTTGTCATTCTCACTGATTTTCCTTCTCGTGTTTAGTTTCCTAAACCTCTCTTTATCTGATCAGGCCTCTTTGACGAGACTCTGATACCAAATGTTGAACAAGGTAAGAATACAAGTAATTGAAACTGTAAACTTTGCTTGATATTAAAAAATAGAAAGACATGCTGCATAAATGACCTTACAAAAAATTGAACTTCCTATTTTTCAGGACACTATAATAAGTCTTAACCTAGATACTCCTTTTGAATAGGAATTTTATTAACGGACTAAAAAATATTAATTCAAAACAAATATTAATAATCCAACATTCCTTTCATAAAGAACCAAGTCCACGTGCTATTAGCAAACCTACATGTGAAGAATAGACGAGAACAAGATTTAGTGTGGCTATTGCAGAGGCAGCATATTGAGGCCAAAGGAACACCTCTAAGCATTAATTGATAGTGATGAACCAAAATAGAATGTAGGGCTGCTTTGAAAACCTTTGTAAAAATGGGAATCGAAAACGTGCTGCGTTGCGATATAATAGTTGCTGCCTTAAAAGCAATTTCGCTCTGACCACCAGAGCTCAGTCACATCAGCGTTGCCCCCCAAGGTTACAACAGTGTCCTCCAATCGCGGGTTCTCACCAACGAAGGACTGGAATCAACCGGTGTACTCAGAAATGTTTTTTCAGAAGAAAGAAAAATAAGAAGCTTTGTGTTTTTGTTCAAGGTAAAACCAACTGGGAAAAATCTCTATTTAAAGAAAAACAATTTGTTAAATTCACATCACTAACTACACCTCCTAAAAGTTGGGATAAGGCCTGAAATTTATAGCTCCCCATATAGACTTGATCGATTTCAACAGCTCCTTGAAATCCAGAAAATAGTTCCATGTCAGCACATAAATGCTTAGTTGCTCCAATGTCAATAAACCATTCAACCTTCTCAGCTACATGGTTAACTTCTGCAGTTGTGATCATGGCAACCAGGTCGTCATACGCTTCAGATTTGATGTTTGGTTTGATCTCCCTTAGGCTTAATTGCATTTTTCTGGTTGTTATCTTGATCGTAGCATTGATAGGCTTGATGTCTCATCTTGCCACATACGAAATAACCTTGCTTGTTGTTCTGGAACTTCCCTTTCACTTTGAAGTTTGGAGCTCTTTTGTTTTGCACCCTGTCTTTCTTGAAATTAGCCTTTTTTGTCCTTCTTGAACCTGTCAACATTTTCAGAAGACTCCACAACACTAGCCTTAACTAAATTATCAGAAACTTTAGGAACATGCTTATCTTTGAGGCGATTCGCCAATTCAATATTCATGTGGTTAACTAGTTCGAGAAGATTTAAATCTTTCTTCTTGTGCTTCTGTTGGTTGCGGTAGTTGGACCAGGAATCAAGAAGCTTCTCGATCAGAAAGTTGGCCTGGAGGACTTCACACATCTTCATCCCTTCAGCAGATATCTGCCACCAGATTCTCGTACTCATGGACTCGATCCATGATTGGCTTGCCATACACCATCTTGAATTGCATAAATTTCCCGCAAACATATTTTTTCTTCCCAGCATCATCAGTTGAATACTTAGCCTCCAAGAGTTCCCATATCACCGAAGATCGGGTTGGTAACGTGGCTGAGCAAATGACCACGAACGGTCTTATTGTCAGATTCATACTCCTTCACGGTTCCATCATCTGCGAAGACTGGTGTTGCACCAAGAGACGGAGTACCATCCATTCCAGAAGTTTTGGGAATGATGGAACCAATGGCAACTGGAGGTTGTTGAAGGAGCGACCTTCAGTTGGAATTTTTTTTATTAATAACCAAGTATTAAAAAAATATTTCGCAAATAACCGGGTTTCGGAAAAAATTACGCAAATAACCATGTTTGAGATGGCTCCACAAAGGAGGAGCCAAGTCATTTGGCGCATGCACCTAGGGTTTTGCCCTAGGCGCCATCTCACTTGGCGCCTCCATTGGCTTTTAGCCAAGTGAGATGGCGCATGCTCCTTAAAAAGGAGAGGAGGCGCCATCTCACTTGGCGCCTAGGGCAAAACTAGGGTTTTTTGCTGTTTTATAAATAATTCGTCCGTTTCTTTGAAATTTCTCACACTTTCTCGCACTGTATTTTTATTTTGTACTCCCTTATTTACGTAATGACGTCGCCTATGATTTTTAGCAGAGATGGTTACGTTATATTCTCCGCCACGAAACCCGCGATGAAAATGAAATTCTGGCACATTCACTCCATGGAGCGTCTGAAGCGGGAGTTGATGCGGTGGCTAGATGGAGACATCGCCGAGGGGGAAAAAATTCGAAGGATCCAGCGAAAACGAACAACAACCTCGCATGCGACAGGAAGACCTAATGTGTGGTTGGAGGAAGTCAAAACAGACAGTGATGTAATGCTGATGATGCATGGGTCAGATGAAATTGTGTTAACAGTTGTAATTTCCTAGATTGATTATCGTTAATCATTGTTGTACGCGAAAACCCTAATGTAATTTCCTATATTGATTATCGTTAATCATTGTTGTACGCGAGAACCCTAATGTAATTTCCTATATTGAATTTCTTAAATTGTGTGAACAGTTTTATTAACGGAAAACCCATAATGTTTACAACACAAATATTGAAAAGATTTATTGTATTACAAAATTTATGTGGTCGAGCCAGACGCCCGATTCGGACAGTTTTTGCGATTGTGTCCGACCTGACGGCATAAACCACACTTTCTTTCCAACCTGTCAAGATCGTCCATTTCTGTTGTTATGCGCCTGCTTTTGGGACGACCCTTCTTGTTCCTTCGCATTTGGTCATTGTGCCAAACTATATCACCGTTGTATTTAGGCCAATAGTCCGGTTTTGCCACCAAAGGAAAGTTGTTGTTGTAAACAGTGAGCAACGTTTCAGATTTATAAACGTTTGAGAGCAGTTGAAGCGCGTCTTGATGGGTATGCGCACAAGCGGCAATGACATGAGAGCAAGGCATACGAAAAGCTTGAAACCTGCCACAATCGCACCATTGATAAGGTAAAATGACCCTGTATTCTTGTCTTGCCAGGCCTTCATTGTGGTCAATTGTCTCTTTCATAATGAAGTTGTGGCTATGGCGGTCAAACCGTGTAACCATGTGAGTGTTGGCTTTAGCACTTTCAGCCTTAATGTATTTCATACAGCTTTCACTCCATAGTTGTCCTGATTGCAAGACCGCATACCACATTTCACCTCTTTTGGCAAATAACGCAGCCATCCTAAAATACGTGGATTTCACCAAGGCAGTGATGGGGAGGTTTCGTATGCCCTTGAATACCCCATTCATTGATTCAATAAGATTTGTTGTCATATGCCCCCATCTTTGGCCATTGTCGTATGACCTAGTCCACTTTTCGACCGGTATATTGTCGATCCACGTACCGGCTTCTGGGTTAGACAAACGGATCTCGTTGCGGTAATATTTGAATGTGGGCTGTGTCAGTGCGTATCCCGCATTCATCACCGCTTTCCTCAATGTTTTGTCCTTGACCTCCCTCGAGAAATTTTGGACGATATGCCTGACGCAATAGACATGCGTAGAAGGAGGGTCATGCCAACCATTTGCCGGATTATTATAGGCACTTTCAATAGAGGCATGTCTGTCCGAGATCAAACAGAGATCTGGTTGAGGAGCCACGTGTGTACGAAGATTTTTCAGGAAAAAGCTCCAAGCACCACCGGTCTCCCCCTCGACAAGGGCAAACGCAACGGGGAAAATGTTATTGTTGCCATCTTGTGCAACTGCCATCAAAAGCGTGCCTTTGTACTTCCCATACAACCAAGTCCCGTCTATTTGTAGAATTGGTTTGCATGATGCAAACCCTGCGATGCATGGTTGAAAAGCCCAAAAGACGCGACTGAATATTCCGTTGCCATGTAGTAGACTACCATCTTGAGCATACGTTGGCAATGTTTCCAGAACATAAACACTACCTGGAGAATATGTATTGAGTGCATTTAGGTAGCGGGGAAGTTCTCGGTATGACTCCTCCCAGTTTCCGTACACCCTTTCAATCGCCTTAGTCTTTGCTAACCACGCCTTACGGTAAGACGGAGTGTAGTTAAAAACCGTGGTGATGTGGGAGATGATTGTTTTCACCTTCAAAGAAGGGTCGTTGCTGACCAGGGGTAGGATTTCTTGACATATTAGATCATGGTTGAGTTTTCGGTGGTCTTGTGATTGAGTGGAACTTACACAAGTATGGGTAGTCATGGAACCTATGACCCAGCAGTCACCCCTTAGTCTGTATGAAGCGGTCAGCTTGAACATGCAGTCAGGGTGGACACACTTGATCTTGTACCTTTTCGGGTTTACACGATCCACCTTATAATCAACCGAGTTGAGCATGTGAAATTTTTTGATGGCCCTTATGCATTCCTCTCTATTACGAAACTTGTCCTTCTCTTTTAAATTTTCATCTGATTGCATATACGGTTGGAAAAACAAGTCCGTAGAAGGTTCATCTCCGCCCATGTTGAAGTTTGTCATGTGCGTAGGTGGTGTGTAGATTTTGTCGGTAGGAATACTTGGGATGCCATCATCGTCAGAATCGTCGTTCACCATTTCATCGAACTCTAACTCGTTATCTTCTTCTTCATCATCAACTGCATCCACCTCATCTTGCTCATTCTCCAAAGGATCAACCTCCTGTGTCACCGGAGGCTCTACCTCCTGTGTCACCGGAGGCTCTTGAAACAGAACGTACAACTCAATAGAGTCGTTTCCAGAATAGACATGGCTGGAAATCATGTTCTGGAAATCCTCGTCATCTTGAATTGCAACCTTATAAAATATGACTTGGTTGTTTCCAAAAAAGACTGGACTCTGATAAAATATCTGGGATACCGGGCCTCGTTCAAGTTTGGCCTCCAATCTTTTCTTAAAGTGGGAGAAATTTGCTTTCCCGTTTAAGAGAAATCGGACATTGTCGGTGTTTCTAAACAAAAACCCAACTGTGGGACACATGTATGTCTCACCGTTGAAATGTGCTTTGACAACAAATTATGGTGAAGAGGCCATTGTGTAGAATTGTTTTAGGTATGAAGGTGGGAATGTTTTGGGTTTATTGATTATATGAAGGTATGAATGCTGGAATGTTTGAAGGTTAGATGACTGATTCGAAGGTTGGAAAATTTTACAGTTTATGTGAATGAATGTTATGTTCAACCTAAGGCAAAATATTTCAATTAAGTAAGTGATGCAACCCCCCAAGGCTGCCAATAATATTACATGCATGGGCTTATGCTGCCACCTAGCCTGGCCCTATACTACACACATAAATGTTTTGTGTAAGCCTGCCACCCATCAGCTCCAATGGCCTTGCATGCAACAGAGAAAGGAATCCCAAAGGCTGTCACGTAGCCTGAGCCAATGCTGTAAAACGTGACACCTCTTATTCGCCAAATGGGGTGGCGACAACATTCATTTTTGTACTATTTCGCCAAGTGAGATGGCGCCTCCCTTACTGTCCAATAATATTACATGCATGGGCTTATGCTGCCACCTAGCCTGGCCCTATTCTACACACATAAATGTTTTGTGTAAGCCTGCCACCCATCAGCTCCAATGGCCTTGCATGCAACAGAGAAAGGAATCCCAAAGGCTGTCACGTAGCCTGAGCCAATGTTGTAAAACGTGACACCTCTTATTCGCCAAATGGGGTGGCGACAACATTCATTTTTGTACTATTTCGCCAAGTGAGATGGCGCCTCCCTTACTGTCCAATAATATTACATGCATGGGCTTATGCTGCCACCTAGCCTGGCCCTATTCTACACACATAAATGTTTTGTGTAAGCCTGCCACCCATCAACTCCAATGGCCTTGCATGCAACAGAGAAAGGAATCCCAAAGGCTGTCACGTAGCCTGAGCCAATGCTGTAAAACGTGACACCTCTTATTCGCCAAATGGGGTGGCGACAACATTCATTTTTGTACTATTTCGCCAAGTGAGATGACGCCTCCCTTACTGTCCAATCGTGATACATGCATGGGCTGCCACCTAGCCTGCAAGAGTGACACCTTACATTATTTGTAAATGCATGCATGCATATGTGTAACTCCCTAAGCATGCAAATGTGACACCTCGCAGGCATGCAACCACTACATCAAAATTATTTGCCTATAAATACATACCTTATGAAACATCTCTCACACCCACACAACTCTCACTCTCTCACTCTCTGCTACGAAATATTTCTTAAGTCTCTCGTACTCTTTATTTCTTCCTAAGTCTTTCATTCTCTCAAGCGTTCTGAAGAATGGCCCTTCTAACAATGGGAGATACTCACAGAGGCACAAGGGAAAACATTGCTGCATTTGTAAGTCTCTTCTTTGGTTATACATTTTTCATACTTTAAAAAACGTGTTGTTCATCTTAATTAATCTTACTCTTGTGTAATTATGATCTCAGGATACACAAAGATTCAGAATCCGTTCGCACAAATACTTGGCTCCCGACCCTTTTATCGTCCCTTATCTGGAATATGCAGGTTTTGGACACGTGATAAAGATCTCCAACTGCACCATTGACTCCAAATTCATCCTTGCAATGTTGGAGAGGTGGAGACCGGAGACCCATACATTTCACCTACCAATAGGTGAATGTACCATCACTCTCGAAGATGTGTACATGCTACTGGGCCTACCTATTGATGGTAAAGCGGTGAACGGGTCGGTTCAACAACCCAACTCACAGTGTGAAGAACTGTTGGGTAGGGACATGGTAGAAGGTGGTGGAGCAAGAGGGCAGGGAATACTACTCACTGACCTGAAACGGCATTATGCAAGTATGGAATTAAATGAAAATTCCTCAGAAAATGACCGAGTAGTAAAAGCCCGAACGTATATTATGATACTTTTTGGTACTTTTTTATTTCCCGAAAGTACGGGAAATAGTGTAAATTTCATGTACTTACATTTACTACCAATTTTGATAAAACTAGAAAATTTAGTTGGGGTTCTGCAGTATTAGCCCACCTGTACAGTTCCTTGTGCAAAAACGCGGTCAAGGAAAAATGTACATTTTACGGGTGCGCATTTTTACTACAAGCCTGGGGTTGGTGGAGGATGGAGTCCTTAAACCCCATCAACAACAACACTTTTGGTTTCCCTTACGCAACAAAGTAAGTCATTAAGTTATAGCATTTATAACTACTCTTCTCTTTCCAAAATATATGCTAAAAATAACATGTTTCTCATTTCCTATAGGTACTGCGCGAGGGGTATGGATTACAGCAAGAATCCCAGATTCAATGTCGCACTCTACCGGAATCTGTTGGATCACTTAGGCCCAGATGACGTAAGTCGTAGCTTTTAACTTTTGTTCATTTTAATTATTTATACATTACTTTTGCGCTTACCTGATTTAAATTTTATCGCAGTTCGTCTGGAGACCATATTTGGGTTTGGACCATTCTCCAAATCCAGAGGATGCAGCAACTTGGACTGCAAAGACTGCACTCATTCGGTTCAACATTGTGGAGATGCACCACAGCGACCGTGTGAAGATGCAGTTCGGAATGATCCAAGAGATACCAAGTGACCCAACAGATTTGTCCCCCTGGCATCTAAAAAGGGTCGACGCCCAGTGGAATCTAACCAACTGGAAAGACTTTGCTCCAGAATGGTGTAAAATGTGGCAAAGGCGTCACCGCTACATCTTGCAATCCCCTATTTTCCTTACTCAAGGTAACATGCGACACACCGATCAATATATGTCGTGGTACAGGTCGGTTAGTAACCCAGATATGCACGTGTCTCATCCGAGATACTTGGTTGACCCACGCACACAATGGGCACAACCCTCGATTCCCCACCAACAAACCCAAAATCCATCAACCTCAAACCAACCCCCAAGAAGAAACAGACCAACAAACACACAACCACATTCCCCACCACAACACAACTACAACCAAATGCCGTACTACCAACCACAATCACCGCCAAACTACCAATACCCAGATATGCCTCAAACCCAACCACAATACCAACCCCAATACCAGCAAACCCACATACCCCATACACAATTTCAGTCTTCCACATATCCCAATATGGGGCCCTCAACATCCAGCCAGTCTTCCACATATCCCAATATGGGGCCCTCAACATCCAGCCTTAGCCCTGATATGGGAATGTCAGAAGATTATGACCAACCCGACCAAACCTACCATCAACCACCATATCACCAAACAACCCAACATCCACAGTACCAAACACCCCAAGATCCATTTCCTTTCTACCCCCCATACTCAGACGACCAATGCTACCGACCAACCATGGAACCCCACCCACCGCCAACACGACCAAACTTCGAGGGTATGGGTAACCGACTGTACCAGAGCGGATCTTCGAGATATGGAGATCTTACTGATTTTATGGATTCGGATCGCATTGACTTCGCTGGGCCATCGACCTTGCCGCAACAGGAAACGAGACGGCACCCAGCAAGAGAAAGGCGAGGACGGGTATGCGGAACTGGGGGTCATTACCGGGTTCCTGTGGATCATTGATGTATTTTTTTTTTTAAAACAGTTGAATGTAATTATTTTTTTTCAAATAAAAAATCAATTTTGTTTATCTCTGTCTAATACGCAACGCGCAGGAAAGGAAAAAAAAAATTTTTTTTGACCTAATTTTGCACATAGGCGCCATCTCATTTGGCTTAGGGCTTGCCATTTGCCCTTAGGCGCCAAATGAGATGGCGCCTCCCTTATAAAAAGAGGAGGAGGCGCCAAATGAGATGGCTCCTCCTTTGTGGAGCCATCTCAAACATGGTTATTTGCGTAATTTTTTCCGAAACCCGGTTATTCGCGAAATATTTTTTTAATACTTAGTTATTAATAAAAAAAATTCCCTTCAGTTGCTCGAAGAAAATCAACATCTTCTAGACCACCTCTTGTAATTCATCTCGTTAAGAGGTTCGAGCTTTGACAGATCCAGCATCGATTTGAAGTACATCGCCATTCTGATTTAAAACGCTTCTAAATTGATAGTGATGAATCTGATTTAAAACGCTTCTAAATTGATAGTGATGAATCAGAATAGAATTTAGGACTGCTTTGAAAACCTTTGGAAAAACGGGAATCGAAAACGTGTTGCGTCGTGGTATAATAGCTACTGCCTTAGAAGTGATTTCGCCATGATCACTAGAGCTGAGTTAGATCGGCGTCGCCCTCAAGGTTACCACAGCATCCTCCGATCGCAGGCTCTCACCAACAAAGGACTGGAATCAACCGGTATACTCAGAATTGTTTTTTCAGAAGAAAGAAAAAGAAGAAACTTTATGTTTTTGTTCAGCGTAAAACCAGATGGAAAAAACTCTAATTAAAGAAAAATAATCTGTTAAATTCACAAAACTAACTCCACCTCCTAAAACGTGGGATAAGGGGTTGAAATTTAGAGTTGTTGCAAACTTTCAGCTGAAATTTAGGACTGTTGCAAACTACTACGGTATGAGTCAAAACAAATTTAAATTTTAAATTAAAACAAACTGCAGTAATAAATTTTAAATTAAACGTGTAAAAATTTGTTAATGCTCACTCACATTAATTGGTCATTAGTGGAGATTTGGCGCAAGGAAATTCCTATCTTTGACTCTATAAATAATGAAAGGGAAGTGTAGGGACCAAGTAATATGAAAATGCCACTTCCCATTTAAAAGTAAGTCAGAAACATTTGCATATGGGTCAATGCATTTGTTGTGAAGAAAAGAAATGGATGTCTCCAAGATCAAAGGAGCTCCACACCACGAGTCTGTCTGGTATTGCCTTGACCAAGAATCCAACTAACCTTACTGCTCAAAAGATTGAATTCACTTTTAATTCCTTGCCATACTGAAGAAAACATATGGTGTTTTAAAATGCCAAATCTCGTCAGGGTTCTGCATTTTAGAATTGTAGCCCACGGCTCATCAGAGCTCAACATGTCCCAACATAACTTCAGGTTGGTGGTTTCATTTAGAGAGATAAGTGACCTCAACATGACCCCATTTATATATTTGATTTCACCATAAAAATAAAAAGTCATCACCACTCAAAATATTAATATATTGGTCATATTCAAGACCATTAAACTTGAGATTATTTAGAAACCAAAATTGTCATATTATGGAATATTTACATATGGGTTTTTAGCAACAATAAATAACAATTTTAAAATTTTGTATTAATACATTCTCCTATTTTGTCCATAGAATTTAGCTATTGAGCTAAACGAGTTATCAAACATATTCCGTAAGAAACAAAAATATGAATCATAGTCTATTTCTCTAAAAGTGCATGTTATCATCTACATTACAATAATATGTTTAGTTTCTCAAATATATACTAAATGTGGTAACAAAAAAATTTCATGAATAAACCTTATATTTGTTTTTGGTCCAAGTGAAATATATTTTATCTTAAACCAAAGTGCACATGAATATGAAAAAATCGTAAAATATTGAGAGATATTGAGATCAATTGTGTGACAATAGCACCACGAAGACAATATTATACATATAGAGATTTATAGTTCATTACATATTATAGTCGATGTATGATTTATACACAAATATAAATACATATTCTATTAACAAATAAATAGATATTCTATTACACTCCACAGTCGAAGTAGAAGGTTGACAGACACTTAAACTGGTCTGAAAATCATCAAAGAGAATTTTAGGGAGCCATTTCGTGAAGACATCAACAATCTGGTTCTAAGAAGGAGCCTAAAGAACGCGGGCTTGACAACGAGCGACCTTCTTCCGACCAAAGTGAATGCTCATTTCAATGTGTTTTGTATGCTGATGTAGGATATGATTTCCGGATAGATAGATAGATAGATAGATAGATAGATAGATAGATAGATAGATAGATAGGTAGGTAGCACTAACATTGTCACAGTACATAAGAGTAGTCTGAGAAATATGAAAATGAATCTCTGAGAGAAGGTTGCAGAGCCAACATGGTTATGAAACTGCATTAGCAATGCTCTGGTACTCAACTTCTGCACTGGAACGGGAAAGTGTGGATTGTCGTTTGGAAGACCATGAAATTAGGTTATCACCAAGAAAAACACAATAATCCGAAGTAGATCGACGAGTGTGGGGACATCCACTCCAATCAATATTTGTGTAGGAAACAAGCTTCTCGATAGGAGAATGATAGAGATGCAAACCATATTGTAAGGTGTCTTGAATATAACGCATGATGTGTTTCAATGTAAGCATGTGCTCAGTGCAGGTGTTGGCTGAAGATTTTGATAATATTATTAGAAGCCAAGTGAATTAAACGTTTCGATCGAAATGAAACAAAGCGTCATGTTTCGAAATAGCAGAAGTAGTGTTTCGAATGAGCATATCAAAGCTTGGAGCTTCGAGTGACAATTATGGGAACATATCTAAAGAAATCTCGAAATGACAACAAGGCTGTGTCTAAGAAGTGCGTTCGAAGCGGAGAAGTACCAAAACATTTGAAATTCAAATGCAAGCGGGACATTCGAAGTTTGAAATTTATGTGCTGGAGTATTTGAAGACACGTGGAAACGAGAGAGAGGCATTGTTCTGCATGTTATGAACGTGGCATAATCTTATAGCAAGACCGTTATGGTCGAAGTAGTATAAATAGAAGTCTTAGTATTAGGATTTCGTGTGTCATATCTATTGTACTAAATACTCAGTAAACATTCAAATTACCACATGGCTAGGGAAACGAATGCAAGAGCAATGTACGTATGATAGCACCACATGCTTATGATTTAATGAAAACCCTTTATCATTTACAGTACTTTCCTTTATCTTTCTGCCAAATACCATTTACAAGTTTTCTCATTTAAAGTCTTTTTATTCGAAATCTTTTCATTGATGCCTTACATTGAAATGATTTCTTTCCGTTTCAAACACTTTACATTTCAGAAAACTGTCATACTTTTCATATCTTTATCTTCAAGTTTTATCCTTCGAACGCCTATTTTTACTTAAAGTCATTTTACAGATTTCTTGCATTAAACGCTTTCTTCGCATTTCGAATCTTTTACATTAACTGTTTTGTTTTACGTTTCGAAGCCATTTACTTGTCTTTTATGCAATTTTACATGTCTTTACAATTAACATTTATTCATGCAATTTAGTTTCGTGCACATATATTTTGATTACACCTTTAGATCTTTAAGAGAGAAATCGAAATAAGTCAAACACCTACACAACACTCTAAATACCAACCATGAATACCTGTTCGATCATGAGAGTTACCCTAATGACCAATAAGTCCTAGGATCAATCTAGTCGATCCTGCGAGTTACCAGAGAAATTGAATAACAGTCAGTAAGTTTATTCGATAGTTTAGAAGACTAGCGGTTGTTTACCAGAAATCACTGGAAACAAATTGGCACACCCGGTGGGACAAATAATTGGACATTAGAAATAAAGATTGTTGAGACATAACCATTATAAAAACGTTGGAGCCTAAGAAGTTTGTTGTTTTATGAACCTAAGAAGTGGTAAAATAACCAACAGCAACCAACCCTTATCCAGAAGAAAACGTTTGAACAAGATGTCTAATTCTGACAATCAACAAGGGGAACAAAATGCCCCACATACAACAGGCACTAATGTGTCCGCTTCGATGGGAACGTCTAATGTGATCCCTTCGAATGCACAGTCTGTTGCATCTTCTACCAGTAATATAGCCACTAATGGACCAAGTGGCGTATCAACAAATAGTTCGATCTTAGGAAATACTGGAACCATTGGTTATCCTGGGGGATTTGTTCCACCATCAGGGACACAAACCCATTTCGCCACTCCACTAACCAGACCACCCGGTTTCGATAGTAATAGAACCAGAAATTCCTCTTATGGAATGCCAACATCCTTTATGGCAGGTTTACACAATTCCACATCGAATTCATCACCACAATTAGGGTCTGGGTCTGGGGCGAACCAGTTTATGACAAATAACCAAGGGTCAGTGGGTTATAGTACAATGCATATTTTAACCACAGAAAACCAGTTGGCTTTTAGGCAATTGATGGATGACAGTAACCACAATATGATAGGGGTATTAGCACAAACTATGCAGAAAATATTTGCCCCAATAGTACAAAATGTGACTGTGACAAACAGAGAAAACGCTGATAACATGAGTCGAATAGCAGATTTCTTTGCTCCCCCAGATAGGCGTAGGCAGAATCAGGCGGGAGTTCGAGCAAACATGCCTATTATGGAACAAGTTGCTAACGACCCAATTTATAGACCACCTAGAGAAGAAGTTAACTTGGGGGCAAGGGCACCAAGGCTGGAAGCCCCAATAATTCCAGGCCCACAAAGAGAAATTATGGAACCAGGGGCAAGGGTCGAAAGGCTGGAAGTCCCAGAGTTTCAAGAAGAACAACCTAGGGGGGTTGTCATGGTTGATCGAAATCAAGATGCTGATGCTATCGTTCATAGAACTCGAAACGATAACATCTTGGCAGAAAACAATCTAACCACCATGATAGAGAGAGTCATGGCCCAGAATGGCCTCAACACAGGAATTAGAAGGCCAAATTATGCTTCTCCTATATTAGATTGCATAATGCATACTGATTTACCAAGAGGATATAAAGTCCCTAAATTTACAAAGTTCGCTGGGGATACCAATGAGTCAACAGTCGAACACATAGCCAGATATCTAACTAAAGCGGGAGATATAACCAATAATGAAGATCTCAGGATCAAATACTTCCCAAGTTCCCTGACTAAAAACGCCTTCACATGGTTCACCACTTTGCCTCCTGGGTCCATTGATACTTGGGCTCTTTTGGAGAGATTATTCCATGAACAATTTTACATGGGACAGTCGAAAATAAGCTTGAAGGAATTAGCCAGTGTCAAGAGAAAGTTCACTGAACCCATAGATAATTATCTGAAGGAATTGAGGGACATGGCTCAGTTATCCGATAGGGTTCGACAGGTCGAAAGGCTAAAAGCCGAAAAGGCCAGAGTCTTCAAAAATAACAAGAAGGAAAGGATCTCCTACGTTGGAACTGAGGAAGCAGAGGACTATCCTGAATTCGAATTCGAAGAGGTCGAAATCGACCTCGCTGAATTAAAACAGGCACCACCTTATTCCTGCAAGTTATTAGTTCCCACAAAAGGGAAAGAGATTGTTGAAAATGAGAAAAGTGACAAATTCCCAAAGAAGGTTTATACCTTTTATGTCACTAAATGTGACGAGATTTTTGATTTACTTGTCAAAGATGGCCAACTCATTGTACCATCAAATGTCAAAATACCTCCTTTAGATCAAAGAAAGAAGAGAGGATTTTGCAAATATCATAGTTTCCTAGGCCACAAAACCTCACAGTGTTTTCTTTTCAGGGACCTAATTCAGAATGCAATCAAAGATGGCAGACTGAAGTTTGCTGATAAGGCAAAGATGAAAGTGGACGAAGATCCCTTGGACGTGGCAGACACCAACTACTCTGAGCCTGCATGCATTGGAGAGATTAACATGGTGGAAGCTGACCAAATTGATGTCCCAATAGGAGAGAAAGATACTGAAAATGAAAGCTGGGTGATGGTCGAAGTCGATAAGGAGGTCACTGAAGACATCCAGAAGATACCAGAGACTTCGATTGAAGCAGCACCTGTAGCTGTTGCAAAAGAAACCCAGGCTACTGAAGGCCAGGAAAATCAAAACCAAGAACTAACACAGGTCACTGAAGGCCTGAGGCTGGAATTGGAGAAAGTCCAAATCACGAAGCCAACTTCCCCTCAGAAGGAAATATGGGACACTCTAGGGGAACCCAGTGGAAAATTTGACTATTTGGTCAAATATTCTGCCCCAGAGAGCTCGAAGGTTCACATTGAAGAT